TGGCATAGTCTTTGGCACGGTTTGCTAGAAGACGTCGGTTCAAATCCGGCTGGATCGAAGGGATTTTTCTGAGTGTTCGATCTTTGTATTAATAATTGTAACAAACTAGTGGAGTAATTTAACAAAAAAATAATTGAATATCAATTCAATACAAATGTAATATTTACTAATTTAGTAATTTAACTAGAAAATGGCATCATAGTAATTCTAGAATATTAAGAAATAACGGTACATCACTTTCTTTCCACAACTAAATGAAAGAGAGAAAATTTAAATTTTTTTAGACATTAACAAGAAGCGTGTTCTATCAACAAACGTGTCCTATCTCGCTAGTAAGTGACCTACTAGGCGTATCTTATTTATTACTAAAGCTGTAGAAAGCCTAATACAAACAAAGCTATTTATTAGCGCTATTTCTGATAGACTTTAATAACTGCCCTGCTGTAAAGATCTAGAAAGGATTCACTTTCACCTCCCTAATTTGAAGGTCAACACATGCACGCACTACGTAGCAGTAGATTTTTTTTATTCGGTTCACAAAACTGGATACAATTCAGATATAAACTGCAAGTATTTTATTTATATAGTGACACGATGAGAATGTATCCTACTTGATGTGACTACAACATGCAAAACAGACCAGAATAACTGTATAAACATCAAATTATTACAGTAACTCTAAATTTCAAGTATTTAAAAAAAACTCAACAAAATCTGTCGCATAGTTTACATAATAGACACTTTCTAATTGAGTTCCTATCTGAGACCACAGCACCAGAGAAAATGTCGAAATCGAAACGGGTACCATTGTAAGAAGAGCACATGCGATACAATGGACAGTGTTGACCGAAGTTAGTCCTACAAATAGGGAGCGAAAATGTTTTACGATTTTGCAGGCAACAAAGCAAACAAAGCAAGTTTTTATAAAACATAGTCAATTTACCAAAAATAATTTCGATACTCCCTCTTAGGGTCGTATTTTAGAATTCTACTCAATGCTCAAGTCAGGATTTGAGTATGGTTTAAAGCACTCGAAATCATACTCAAGTCCCGTCCATTAGGGTCGTATTTCCAGTGCTTGAAATCATACTCAGATCCTGACTTGAGCATTGAGTAGAGTTCTGGAATACAACCCTGAGTCTCCGAACAAAATTCTAACACACCCTCCATGACGTTTATGAAACTAGAAAATGGACAGTGGCAGAACTGAGACGAAGTAGTCTCACAAGGAATTCATTCAGAAAAAAACTTTTAAGTTTTTAGAGTAGGTAGGTTATTTGACACTTTTTAGATCTGCATTTGGTAGGAAAGGTTCAAACCTGGCAAGCCCCTTGCCTGACGAACCGTAACTCACTCCTGTGTTTCGGCTAGCGCTTTCTTTTGATCACTTTCAGTTGTCACTGTTTAGAGCGATTAATTTAAATATTATTTATAGAGATTTTTTTGTGAAATAACGCCACTAGTTTTGTTATCATTATGAGCATGAAGATCGAACACACAGAAAAGTTTTTCGTCGACCCGGTGGCACTTGAACCCACGTCCATGCTGCGCCGTAGTATTGTCCTAGCCGTCAGAGCCACGGGTCCTCATTGTGGAAATTCTGCAATGTGTTTTTATTCTTGTTTGTACAGATCTTTGTACTGACATTAATTTCAATTTCATTCGTCATTTAAATATTATTTGTGTATGTTGCGAACGCAACAATTTTTGTAATTTTAACATAATTTCCAAAGCAGTAACAAAACGCTGCTCGTCAAGGGCACATTACGTAGGCTTATTGTGAACCAATCGAATAACACCACATATGTGTTTTTCATCCCTATTACATTTGTCATCGATTTAACAGCACTACTCCTGTAACTAACCAGTCACCTATTTTAAAATATAACACAGTTAACTAAAATCGTCTTTGATTTTACGAGTCGTCGAGCTCCTGATCGTCATCTACTTTGGGTCTGGCGGCTCCAGTGTACGAAAATAAAATCTGATGGATTATTAAAGGCCATGGAACAAAAATTGTTTATATCGAGTTATTAGGTTTTCGCGATTGTTACACATAGGAAATGAAACTATTTTTCCGGATTTAAAACGCGTATATTTGGTTTTTCAAACAGACCAACGTTTCGGCTTTTTACAGGTCCCATGATCACGGTTGACTGAGGTGGTACAGTCATCAACCAGTTATATCTAATATTAATGTAAACCACCCTATTTTTTCACTATAGTTACAACAGTTATTAATTTAATACCTTATTTTTAATTTTACGAAGAAAGCATTCTAATTTACGCTACATTATGTTTTACAAATCATTTTATTTTTACAATACGAATTTTTATTCAGTTAAATGTATTATTAATTAGTAATGACAATTGGAATAAATTAAAACATATTAATTAGTACTGTAGTCTTACGTCTGTTTGGGATTTTTCATCAGAGGAAATACTGGATCCCAAACTGGTGGTAGGGAAAAACCATCTTCTCTATTGAAATTAGGATGTTCTTTTAATTTCAATGGCCTCTCGCAGCATCCTGGGTAGATAACGGACTTCTTTTGCAAGGACCTGGGGTTTGTAAAACTTCATTGAATGTGTAGGTTTATCCATGCCATGCTCGCAGACTGCAGACTTGTTGGCAAAATTGTTTATGTTAGTAATAACCATAACCAGTCTAACCATAAATAGTCCTGCAAGGTTTAAGGAACAATTTTACAAAGTACCCTTTAAATTTTTTCATAAATATAAGATCAGCGACCACAAGGCGTAATAATGTTCGAATGCGGGCTCGAATACTTGACAATTTTCTATGGACAACACCGCAATAGAAAACCACGTCAGCTTAAAAAAAATCTTTAAGACTTTTGTTTTAAAAACCGCAGACGCCATAAATCGTACAGCTCAATTGAAAAAAAAAAAAACAATTCACAGCTTTTGCAATATCGCGAATAACTTTTTACAGCTGGAAGTTGTAAAGTTTTATGGTTTCACGAATCATTCTGATGGTTTTATTCCTTTTTTTATTTTCGCACATTCATCGCAAGAGAGAGAGAGAGAGAGAGAGATAGAGAGAGAGACTGAAGATCAAACCAATAACGTCAGTTTATTTCTGTGAAAGCAATTTAGTTTATTGAATGTTTGGATGTTTCACTACAATGATATTAAATTATTTTTGTGAAATTAATCCACTAGTTTGTTAATTAGATCGAACACTTACAAAAAAACTCCTTCGATCCGGTTGGATTTAAACCAGCGTCTTCTAGCAAACCGTGCTGGATGCTATAACTGCTTCCGTGGCCGAACGGTTGCCATGCCACGCAGAGGTCCCAGGTTCGATTTCCGGGACGGGAGAAATATTTGTATGGCCATTTATTTCTCTCGTGAGTTTGGGTGTAATTTGTGGTTGTCCATGGCACCCGCGACACAGGGTTTACCTAGCGCGGGGCTATGTTGAGTGTGTGCGTTATTATTATTAATATGCAAGTGAGAAATAAATATAATAAACTACATAAATAAAATAAAAAATACTGTTAACTGTAATAATATAAAAATTTTCCGGATTTAAATCGCGTATATTTGTTTTTTCAAACAAACTGACGTTTCGGGCCCTTTACAGGTCTCCTTCATAGCGCGGTTGTCTGAAGCTTTGTCTCTGTTCCTTTTCCTTACTCATGTGATGCAGTGCCAATCGGAGCTTTAAATCATGTTTAAATCGCAAAGATCTGAGTGGCACTGCCACCGCACCCGTCCCCCTGAGACATAAGTTGATAAGACCCAAGAGCAAAAACAAATATATGCGATTTAATTTCGGAAAAATAGTTTTTTCCGGATTTCCTATGTGTAACAATTGCGAAAACCTAAGAACTCGATAACATTAATAATGTTTCATGGGAAATGAGACGCTTTTCGTCGATTCTGAAAAAATACACTTTTTGAGTTAATACAATATTGTATTAATAGTGCGGTGTAATGTTATTAATTTTTTAAATTTTCTAATCGTTTTTTCTCTACTTTACAATTTTGAGGTACTACAGCATTTAGTTTCATGTTCGGTATTAAAACTACTAAGTTAACTAACGCTGATTTACCTTGTCGTACTACATTTCCGTATATTTTTTCAAATTCAAACAGACTCCCTTGAAAGAAGTTAATGTTGGAGCGGTCCAATTTTAATATAATCATCAATAGTTGTCACTGAAAGAATGGATAAGTATCTGGGCCAAGAAATAAAAATGGACAGAGAAAGTCAGCTCAATGAAATTAACAGGCATATATGATGTGGGCAGTATATTTAAAACTGGAGTTTGCTTTTAAAATGAATCTCACTGCGGATCAAAAAGCAAGAATATTCGACTTCAGAAAACTGGTGGGAACTGGTGGCTCAGACAGGAAAGCAGAATCGTAAATGTCACCAAACGCATAACGAACGTATGTGGCTGTGGGCGGGTCACGTTGCTAGAATGGCGACCTTGGGGTGAAAAACGCAGATGCGTTGGAAGGATGACATAAATAAAGTGGCGAGGTTGAATTGGATACAGGTGGCACAGAACCGAGAGAAGTGGCAGAAACTGAAGGAGGCCTACATCGCTATGGTTGAGAACGGCTAGAAAGAAGAAGATGAAAAAAGTTGTTACTGACCTTCGTTCTTGGAACATTCCACGTCTTCAATTAAATTACTCTCTTACGATGACGGCCTGCATTTAATACTCGACAATGATGAAATTCTTTAATAATCTGATAATTTTTTCATATGGTGTATCATTTCACTTCACCTTAACCGCAAACAGTGTCGTCATAAGTTTAGAACCGGGTTTCAGTTTGATGGCTTTTTAAAATTCCTTTTTATTGCGCTAATGTAAAAAAATAAAATTAAGTCAAAATGCACAGCGGTCTTACACTTGGCTATAAAATGGAACGCGTTCAATTTTATTTTCAATGTTAAAGCAGTAATTATAAATTATTTATGGTACAATGCGTTAATGCTATATATTTTTTTATTTTCACAGATAAGAAATCGTGCCTACAAGAAAGGAATGTGCCTTGTGCTGTTTGGTGATTTAGTGTAATTTTTTCAAAGAAAGTATATTTTTTAGAAAAATATTTGAAAAACTCAGTGCCTGTAGTGTGTTCTCGATTTTTAGTGATTTATTGTAATAAAAACGTGTTAGAACACTATGGCGTTACGGAGGATGTGTATATGTTTGGCGTTTTTCGTGGTGATTGCCTTCTCGCAGAGTTCAGGTGAGTTATACTATAGTGCTTGTAATTTTCAATTTGTACGTATAATACATTTTTAAATTGAGCTAATCACAACAGCAAAAACAGTTTTTCTTGTTCGAGGTCTCACCCCTAGCACAGAACAATAAATATTCTACTGTATGTTACTGTACTGGTTAGTTAGCGTCAGACGCGTGCCAACTATTGGTCACGAAAGACCTATTAAGGTTCAGTCAGCCATTTTCGCTTTGTATGCTATGGATGTATCATTCTTTCGTGTAAATTCTCTAAAATCCTAGAAAAATGCATATCATCGAAAAGTCTTACTTTAAAATTTCATAAATTCTGCACAACTCAGAGGTCAGATTCGAACCCACGGGCTTTGCTTTAATGGCTACCACGGCTTTTAACAAACAAATACACTGTATAATTAAAAGCTTCATTATAATACCTAACGTCAGTGACCTACTTAGTAAAAATAAACCAAAATCTAGGTAGGTACTATGAGAACACTAGAATTAAAGACGTGAGTAACCAGCGAAGCGCATTTAGAACAACATGTAGGTTAACTAATTTTAAGCCTTAGAGCAAAAAAGTCGAGTTCAAGATGTAAATAAAAAATTGGCACAAAAAATTAGAGCTTCTCTCGCTAACGAATAACAGTGCGGTTGGTTCAATGTACTGAGTATGATAGGTGTAAAAACATTTTAAGACTACATATTTAGAATTGTTTGCGGTTACATAAAGATGCCATAAGAAAGTAAAATATCTTATTTTATATAGAGTCTTATTTTATATATTTATATAGAGTATATAACCAGAAATAGAGACGAAGTGTCATTTAATTTGTTTGAAAATTGTTCTGCTAAATCATTACGGTTGACATCTGCGCTCCGATTGGCCAGCCCGAATTCGAAACAATTGACGGGTGTTGTAAAGTAACGCCTTTTCAAAAAACAACAAAAAAAAAACATAAAAAATTGAGAATTTAAATTTCTAGAATTCTAAACATAATATTAGACGTATAGATTTGAAAACAGACGTTGTTTACGCCAAATGGTGTGTTTTAATAATAATAACATTATATTTAAACAAACTTTTGACCTTGACTGTTTTTTTTATATTAAGCATACTATTATATTACAACATCACGAAGCCTTATAAAAATAAAATAAATTTACAATAATAAAACACTTAATGTAAAATTGTTACATCACTCTATAATCAAGCAATCAAGACTATAATTGATAATTATCTCATGTTACACTAAGATTGCCGTTACAAATTGGCCTCCTCCATACTAATAGTCTAATTGGCGTTCTTACTGACAAAGGCTGTCAAAACGCGGCGAAGCGAGCTGTCATCGTGACAGCTGTCAGATTGAAAGCGTGCCTCATATCGATTTAAATTTACCGCTAGTCCGTTTTTATTAACCTTAAATGTATTTGGGCTGCTAAGGCTTTTTTATAATGTATGTTACGGTTTTTGCCACTAACTTTAATGGTGACGAAAAAAATAGTTAAAAGTCGATATTACCTTTAGTCGAATTCAAATTTTTTTCCGTACTAATAAGGTTCATTTTGCTTGGGTCGAGCGGTAGGTCCAATGGCTTTATTTCAGATTTTTTTTTAAAACACAAAACTAAATCCATTTGACAAATAGATTTCGTATACTATCCGTGTTCTATTTGGTTCAGTTCATATTAAAAAAATCATTGGTGTATTTAAAGTACCTATTGAATACAACGGTTCTCTTGTAAAATTTCGAGTTAAGTTTGTGTTTTTTTTTTCTATCTGAAAATTTTTTGGAATCGTGTTTTCACACCATATAGTAATCAGTATTGTACTGAGGGGTAGCTCTAATGCGTAGCGAGAGGTACTTCTAAGAATATAAACTGGAATTAACTTCAAAGATTTGGTTTATTTCACATTTTTTACATAGTTTATACTTTCAGTCTAGGATGTAATATGTAATATGTCAAGATCTTCTGTTTTCTTACTTCAATTCTTTAAAAGTATTCTAATTACAAAAACTATATTCACTAGCTATATTCTGCCAGCAATTCTGCTCATAGAGCCTAGACTACAGTATACATCATCAATTTATGTATATCCCCAAATGAAAGTGATTGATTAAACAATATCAATGTTAAGCGGAATCAATCGACGGCCTCCGTGATCGAGAGGCTTGCACACCGGTTTTCATGGTGTCGCCATCTCTGAGTCAATGTAGAAAACTAACTTTTCTATATTGTCATGGGTCTGGGCGTTTGTGGTACCGTCGTTGTTTCCGATTTCCATAACACAAGTGCTTTAGCTACTTACTTTGGGATCAGAGCAATGTATGTGAAGTTATCTAATATTAATCAAGCTATTTGAGGTTATGTCGACGCGTAATAGAAGATTTTGAAGAGTACTCTATGTGTGTGTGGCTATAGTATAATAATCTGCCCGAAACGTCTATCAGCGGTCTGTATACAGTACCAAAATTAATTCTACCCTTCCCTGTCCTTGACTGAACCAGAAGTATGCTCACTTTATTGTGCATTCTCTTTCTTTTCAATCCTTTGGACAGCAAACGAATAGAATGCTTTGCTTACGAATTTGTATCCTGGTAAATGGTCAAGAATATTGTGTAGATAGATGATAAATTCTAGATGCGTAATATCCATCCTCAAGTTTAAGGTTATTAGTTATACGATTTTAAAATGGTTTTATGAGATAAATTGTTTTTTGTTGATATAATCACGTCCACGTCAAAGAAACACCATAATGCTTTACTTCTTCTTTCTCTGTTCAGCGCCCTAAGTTTCTGATACGACAGGATATTAATTTTTTCCCTAAAAATAACTTTCACAAGCTTTCCTCTGTCTCTGTTTCCTTCGATAATGAGTCTAAGAAAACTGTCGTAACGGATTGATCCCCTATTTTGGCATTTTTTCCTTTCTTTCTCTCCTGTCTTGAACAAGCTTCTCTTTTCTTGCGTTTTTCTTAACACTTAATTGGGTTGTGCTTTCTGTCCAGCTAATACTCTCCACTCTTCTCCCGCACGACATCTCAAATGATTCCGAGCAGTCTCTAGCTTGTCCATCTCTCACTAGCTGGCATTGTATCTCCTCCTCCTAGCGTCGTGCACCTCACTACTGAGGTTCGCGACTCCACTCGGAAACAAGCTCCGCATTACAACACTGTGCCATCTGTGGAGGTTTTCGGCATAGTGGACCGCATCATACAGACCCATGCCGACAGCCGCACAAACTTGGTCGAACCATGTTGTGGAACAGCGACCCCTCAAACATTTACCGTCGATCCGCTCAGTGACCATTAGTTGTTCGAGGTTGTGCTTTTTTTATTAGTATTATTATTTATTTTTTTATTAGTTGTTCTTTCCTGGTAATGTGACCAAAGATATCAAGTATCCTATGCAGACATAAGGTATTGGCATTGTATACGCCCCAAATAATATTAATAATAATAATAATGTGCCAGACAAATACACCAATTGCTTGATTTCAACTAAAGAATTTCCTGTACTTTCAACGGAATTCATTCTAGGGCGCTTCTGAGATCACCCAGACCAGAGCCAATTTAGAAAAGTTCATTTCCTAATTTAGTCTTACCGGGAATTGAACCCGGAACCTTCTCTTGCAGTGCTCACAGTATAATCCGTTGGGCCACCGAGGTTGTCTACATAATATAATATATACCTTATCAGTCGTTTCCTGGCCATTTTGAAATTTTTTATAGATGCTTTGCTACAATCTCAAAAACTTTTGAAGTGTTTATGTACAAGATTAAAGAAAGTAGCAAATGTGTACGTTTGACATAGTAAGAGATATTGCTCAAGACTGTGAGAGCTTATCAGTCAAATTTTATCTCAAGCGTTACACAAGGGCCTACTTCCGATTACTACACTAGAAAGTGCGCATTTTGTGAAACATGGTGTAACGGCTGGGATAGAATAGGGAATGTTTGACGGTTTGGTTAAATGGAAACGATAGATGTTAGCAGAATAACAACAGAAATGCAAACAAACGTGGAAGGATAACAGAGAAAAACGATCTCCTACAGTTGATACCCTAAGATATTTGACCCACTAACCTTTTTTATTTGGTTGGTTTTTTGGTTTGGTTTTGAGTAGATCAGTGTGTTAAACAAACTTAACATTAAACGCTAAGCCGTAAAATTCATTTTGTTATGACTTTCTTATTGCACCATTTGTGAATGGTTACTTTAGTAGCAGTAGAGTTCCTTGTGAAAGAATTCATCCAGGGCAGTACTGTCATCTTACCTATTTCTACCGCCAATCGGTAATGTGAGCATTACTGCGTTCCGGTTTTGAAGGGTAAGGGTGCTGGTGAAATTACAGGCACATAGGACTTTTCAACTTATGTCCCAGCATAACAGGTGCAGTGACAGTGCCCCTCAGGTCTTTAGGATTTGAAGCTCTGAGTGGCACTGCAATTGTTGGACAGGCGTGTAGCTGAACACCAGGCGCACGATTTGTTTGTCCCGTGTCTAATTGGTATTATGAAAAAATAAACTTTTTAGAGACAACTTGATCTTTAATTACATTACATAAATACAATTCTCAACCGAAATGATGGAATTTCTATACTTTTTCTTTTGTTGAATGCGTAAGAAGGCTATCAGAATCAAAAGATCGGCTAGGAGGTCAAATATCCTAGAGTATCAACTGTATATATTTTTTTAATTTGTTATAAAGCAAAACAAAATCTTACATATGACTAATTACAATCTAGCCATTTTACAAGAGTAATAAGCAATTTTAAATTAAAACAATTTCCTAATATAAAAATAACTTATGTGAAGAAAATCTCCATTGACAAAATATCTATATTCGCAGGGAGAACACTTCGTTCATGTGTTCATAGTCTTATTAACACTGGCACTAGCATTTATTTTATTCACTATAAATTAATTACACTAACTCAAAAGGTTTAGTTCCTTGTAGTGTACGCACTATATTTGTATTGTTCAGTAGTTGCATAGCTTCCATGTTCA